TAAAGGTAATAATCAGCACCTTGAAGCGCGTTTGGAGACTGATAGGGAGCCAGTGCAACTCGCGGAGGATAGGTGTGACATGGGTGTATCTTGGTACACCCAATATCACTCGCGCGGCTGCATTCTGGACCAGTTGTAGTCTCCGAACACTTTTCACGGGCAGCCCCATGTAGAGCGCGTTACAGTAGTCAAGTCTTGAGTTGACAAGGGCATGAGTGACCATCTAAAGTGCCTCCCAATCCAGGTAGGATCACAACTGGTGCACCAGGCGAACCTGGGCAAAGGCCCCCCTGGTCACAGCTGACAAGTGATGTTCTAATGTCAGCTGCAGGTCCAGGAGGACACCCAAGTTGCGGACCTTCTCTGGGGGGGGTGTAAGATTTCACCCCCCAGGCTTAGAGATGGAATATCTGGACTGTTCTTGGGGGGCAACATCCATAGCCACTCAGTCTTGTCAGGATTGAGTGCAAGCTTGTTCACTCCCATCCAGACCCTGACAGCTTCCAGGCAGTGGCACATCATCTTCACCACTACACTGAGTTGGCACGGTGTGGAGAGATACAACTGAGTATCATCCGTGTATTGATGGTATTTAATCCCGTGCCGGCAAATGATCTCACCCAGTGGCTTCATGTAGATGTTAAATAAGAGGGGGGACAGGACCGAGCCCTGCGGCACCCCATACTTAAGGGGCCTAAGGGTTGACTTCTGTTCTCTGACCAACACCGACTGCAACCTGCCGGAAAGGTAGGAGGAGAACCACCGTAAAACGGTGCCTTCCACTCCCACCTCTTCCAGTCGTTGCAGAAGGATACCATGGTCGACCCAGAGAAATTTCAATCTATATTCCTTTAGCAGGATCCAAATCCCAAGAATGGTGATAGATGGATTCCCCTGGAACTGGGAATTTCATAACAGCCTTCAGTACTTTGGGTCTACACTGAGCTTTAAATTGTGTGGGAGCTTTTGGCATCTTCTCAGTCAGGCCATATAACCAAAAGCATCTGATAGCACAGCTTATCAGGCACTTAATCATAATTTTAGACAGTAGAATCCTTGCCACAACTTTTTTTATTGAAGACAAGGTCTCTAGCAGATAGTACCTGGGGATGGTCTAATGGCATGTCTTATCAGGACCTTGGAAATCCAAATATGTGACCCTTTGTTAATGAGAACATTGCTCTTAGGCAGCTATTGTTCCTCTTCCCTTGACAGCTATTAGATTAAAGAGCTGGCGTTGTCCTCTTTATCTAAATGGTTACAAACAAGAATACAGATAAGGAACAGACGAGAATGATTAACAACATGCAATCCACACGGCTTAAGCTCATTTGTGGAGGAATTTGCAATGCAAAGCATGCCAAGTTACATGCAACATGTCTAAATAATCCTTTCTGCACAGGTACTTCTGGTATATGTAAAGAACCAAGGAGGATCCATGCCACTAGTCCTCACAGTTTTCTGTGAGACTCAAAGCAGGACCATGAAAAGAAAAGCCACTCCATCCATTCTAAAAACTGCAATTTTGCAAAGTGAGATTACCTAGCAATAACATTTGTCATGAAAAGCAATTGAACCCATTGAGGCAGAATTAGTGGCCAGAATAACTTTGCATGCATTTGGAAGCAAAATATAATTCAAGTAGGATTGTGTATTCTGGATAAACTAATAACCCAAACTCTACTCCTATTGCCATTGCCACAAACAATGGATTTTTTTTTCATTTTCTTTTATGCGTGTGAAGTCACGAGATGACTCTTAAATGTAATTTCCCCCTACTTACTAAAAGAAATGAATTGTGTCCTGCTCTCCCACTCTCCCAATAAAAATGCAACATCTATTATCCTGGTTTTGAGCACAAAGGAGTTAAACATTCGTATCTATTGGGTCCTCGATTTTAATTTCATAATCTCATATACTGAGCTTCCACTAATGCTAGTAGTTTCTTCATGAAACTTCTTCTCTTTAATGTGTTTGGAAAAGAAAAAATATATATATAATTTTCACCACAACTGCTTAAAATTGGGCAAGAGAAAAAGGTAAAGACTCTTTAAGTTAATTATGACTCCTGGTGACTAATTTGAGACATCTGTGTTATTTTCATGGCAGAGATGGTTTTTCATTGGCTACTTCTGGGATGATTATTCAATTTGACATTCTAGCCTACAAAGCTTTGGCTTTTCCTGGTGATTGTCCCTCCACAAACTAGTTACATCCAACCCTGCTTAGCATTTTTTTTTAAAAAAAAAGAACCTCCAAAAGTTGGCTTGGTACTATTATCAAAGCTGAACTCAGATCAGATATAGGAAGATTAATATACAGCTATTTATAAACTATGTTTGTAACTTTTAAGAATTGGACAGTCACTGTAATATCTGCAATAGCCAAGAAAGAAAATGCATTTATTTATAATGTATGAAATATTAGAGCGATTTCTCATTTCTCTGTCTCTTAGGCAAGTAATGGCATGGCATTTCAAGTAATGCATTTTCTTCATTTTTTTCGTTCCATGGGAAATGGAGTGAAAATAGCCCTTTTGACATATACTCACACTTTGCAGACACGCTTCATGTATAGAATTGGTAAAAGAAGCTCCTTTTTCATTATTACTACCAGTAAATCAAGGAGCATCTATCTGACAAAAGAGTGAGGATTCCTCTACTGCCACCACCCAGTATCATTGGACACAATAAAAGCTGCTTCCCTGTACTTGAAAGTGAAGCTGACAATGGAAATTACTACAGAGGCACCCATGAGGAATGAATCTAACTGATCTCCAGGGATAAGTAACTGAGATTGTAGGGATGCCTTGAAGTCCATTATTGCTGTATTTGCTAAAGCTGACAACAGAAATAAGCCAATTTTCTTAAGGCAGGACCGATTAATTGAGTTATTTATTATTGATTGATTGATTGGATTTATTTAGGTTCTTCTACCCTGCCACTACAGTAGGTTAAATAAAAGGACATTAAGAACTAACCTCAGGCCTCAAATAATTCTTTCGTCTACTTATATTTTTCAAGATTTTGGGTGGGGCAGGAGTGGGATTCAGCTGGTTTGGACCAGTTTGTGCGAACTGGTAGCTCCGATGATCACCTGGGGAGCGAATTGGTTCGCTCCAATGATCACATGGGCCCGCCCGCCCCTGTGCTTTACTTACCTATATCCTCTCAGCTGATTCACGCGGCAGAGTGGATTGCCGCGTCTCAGCTGTTTTCCTCTCCAGAAGTAACGTGAAAGGTAAGTTTTGTTAAAACTGTGCATGCATGTGAAGCGCGTCTCAGGCGTGGACATGCGTGGAGTAGATGTGCGCGATGCACGCAATGGCCAAATGGTTGTTAAACCGGCAGGGTCCCATCCCTGGGGTGGAGGCCTGATTGTTTTCTGCCTGATACACAGGAAGGAGTCTAACTGGGCCAGATAGATAGAGGGAAAATATTTTCTTCTTTTTTTACAGTTTTCTTCAGCAGAGATATAAAGTGACAAAAAAATAACACAAAAGTTATTTTTATTTTGAGTTTTCAGGTTTTGACAGGATAGCTAGATTAGTGTTAAAGAACAAAAGTCTCTCATATCCTATGGAAAAGTGAGATGACATATTTGCCCAGCTAGTCAAAGACATCATGACGTTCCAGATTCCAAGAGTCTCATTCCTGAAGAAAGGGCAGAAGACTCCACTGCTCAAATGGACACAATGAACTAAGCACTGTGATGGGATCTATTGACCCACTTGAGTTAAATTAAGAAAGTGTAATTAAGAAAAATGGCATTCTAGAGGGAGGAGAAACATTAAACATTGGAAATGGACCAAGTGGAAAGATTAAAGACAGCAGTGTAGGAATAAGAGATTTCTCAACTAAAAATGAATGGCTAAAGAATGGATTGTTACTACTGCAACCAATCCACACTTCCAGAAGCTCCTGTGGAAAATCCAGAATACAGGAAAAGAGAGGAGTCTATCCTCTAAACTGGATGTTTGGCTGGCCAGTAAAGATGTTTGATTGGCCAGTATGGAGGAAAATCAGTTTATTTATATGTTAAGTTAATTGAACCCTTTGTTAAGGCCTATGAAATGGCTTGAGATGAAATGGACAGCTATGAACTATTTTTTAAAATGATGAAATCCCTACAAGAATTGTTGTCGGAAAGTCCTAGAAAAAATTTCAAGGTTCTATGGTGAAAGATGTCTGATTCCTTTAAAGCCTTTATTCACAGAATGGACGTGACATATATCTGATGTAAACAGATAGAGCGGATACAATTAGGGAAATCAAAACACTGATGAAACTGAAACAGTTCATGGCTAACTACTCAATCATATTTAAGATCAAGTGTTTCTAATGATACTAAGAAACTTGAAAGACACTAAGATATTACATCAAGACTGGTGGGATTCTGGGATGATTTACTGTGATCGGTCTAATATGGTAGACCCATCCACTAAGACATAACTTGTACATCCTAAACATTCTTGTGAATAATTCCAGCAGTAGTTCTAAAAACTTAATAATTTTCTGATTCTTTTCAAGGTAGCATGTACTGCATACATCTATGGTTGAAAAAGACTGCATTGATTTGTGCTGTGTTTAATAATGAAATGGAATACATGGCATTTGTGTGTGTGTGTGTGTGTGCGCGCACGCGCGCGCACAAGTGCGTGCACCAGCATGTGTGTAAATTCATTTTAGTGATTCCTTTGGAGTAACAACTTGCCTCCAGAAGTTGTGAATGCTCCAACACTGGAAGTTTTTAAGAAGATGTTAGATACCCATTTGTCTGAAGTGGTGTAGGGTTTCCTGCCCTAAGCAGGGGGTTGGACTAGAAGACCTCCAAGGTCCCTTCCAACTCTGTTATTCTATATTCTAACTAGCTAGCAATACATGGCATAATATTTGCTTAATTATATCCAGCAAAATGAATATTAGATGCACATCTGCAATATCCAATATCTTAAACAGATATTGGGAGTTGCCAATCATTGGGCTGAGTACTTAAGATGGCAAACTTTATTCCTTCATAAAATAAAATAATCCCAGGTAAGCTTTGGCCTCCATTCAGACTGAATATGTGCATTAGAAAAAAGTATCTAATTTACCTAACAGATATTGATTCGGGAATAAATAGGATAATAAATAAATGATAATTTTGATCTAGCTATGTAGAATCCAAAAGGAAAATCTAGAAAATCAATGCCAGGCTCAGGCTTATGACTGACTTGGTCTCTATTTTGCTTGCCTCCAGGTGCCTTCATCCCCCGCTGCAATGAAGAAGGCTATTACAAAGCAACTCAGTGTCATGGAAGTACTGGCCAGTGCTGGTGTGTGGATAAGTATGGAAATGAGATTGCTGGCTCTAGGAAACAAGGGACAGTAAGCTGTGGTGAGTAACATCAGACTTTCTGCAATAAAATAGGAATAGACTCTGTAATGCTGGCTAAGAAAGTACAACATAACAAAGAAGAAATATACTGTATTAGGACAACCATTTTCACGTTTTGTATTTATTAAACAGATGTGCTCATACCAAAAACATTTCTTTCTAAGCATGAAATACAATATAAGATTGGTAAAAGTATCCAGTCTGCTTTTCCTGCCCGCTTAAAAGACAAGAGTTTATACTTACGTAAAATATTTTGAAGGAGAGATTATTGGGGGTAGGATGTTTTGTATGAGGTTTAAAATAATATGATGCATTCCATACCTAGGTGGGGGAGGAACCCACATACAAATAAGGGATTTTTCAGAGTTGCTTTAGAATTAGGCAATGCTTCAGAAATCATTCAGAAAAGATGCTTTGAAGGAACCACCTCTTTTTCTGGGCTACAGAAAAGCACATTTTTGGAATTGAAACTGAAGCATTGCACAAGCATCGTTGTCACTAAATTTAATAAAAACGGTTGTTACTAACACTGCAACTACACATATCCTTAGCTGCATATTGCAAATGTGACATCTCAAACCAGCAAATCCCATTAAAGGCTCACTGGACCTTGAGTGAAACCCAGAATCCACTGCCCACCATTGCTGGCCATGTCCTCTTCACTCTTCTGCCTCAATCGTTCTCTGTCAAATGAGATGCAAACAACATCAAAAAGAAATTCTGTTTGCCAAGTGCTAAGACAGTGATCAGGTGCCCAGGTTCTTTTCGATACAAAGGCAATAAGCACACCAGGGAATGAAAGAATTTCAAACTATATTATTAAACTCAAGCAGACAGATTTAAGAGCATAATATAAAAAGTATACCTATCAAGCAACATAATACCCAAATCTCTCATAAACTGCTGGAGCTCCTTAATAACTATAGCAGAGATATCCCAAGGGCAACCAGATTCCACATTACCCAGTGTTAGCTTCTGTGTAGAAACAAGCAACAATAGCAATAGCACTTAGACTTATATACCACTTCACAGTGCTTTTACAGCCCTCCCTAAACAGTTTACAGAGTCAGCATATTGCCCCCAACAATCTGTGTCCTCATTTTACCCACCTTGGAAGGATGGAAGGCTGAGTCAACCTTGAGCCTGGTAAGATTCGATCTGCCAAAACTGCTGGCAGCCGACAATCAGCAGATGTTGCCTGCAGTACTGCATTCCAACCACTGTGCCACTGTGGCGCAATAATCAAATGTGTTTTTTTTAATCAAAACCTGGCATCATGTCTTCATAGCTCTGCTATGGTCATGAGACTGTGGGATCTGACCTTGGCTGGCTGGCACATGACTCTCAAATGCAAACTGAGAGTCAGCAAGCAAGATTTAGTGCACAATGAGCTCTAAACTTCTAGACTTTTCTTGAGGTGGAAGAAAAATCATAATACATTACTAAACTCTCAAAATAACAATGGTGTTCTACATTGCTACTACAAACCCTTCTAGGAGTGCCACCTGGAGGATGGATAGAAGGCAGGCCAAGTGCAGTTTCTACAACTCCATACTCAAGTGAGGAAAATTAAAAGGACACATTATGGCTTTTGAGAAATGCAGTCCTGAAACTTTTATGCGGCTGTCTTTATTCAGAGGCATTGATTCCTACATATGGAAAGTCTGAGTCTGGAATTCTTTAAAATCAAAGCATGAGCAGTAACAGAGTTGGAGTTTATTTAATTGTAAAATGACTACATATAAGTAAAGCTTAGACTTCAAGGACCCTTTTCTATTTTTTCTAGCTGCAAATACATTCCTTGCACCCTGTACATTTGCAATGGGAACATTCTGTGTTGCAGAGTTTTCTGGATTTTTTTATTATTATTAAGGCACACTTTCAATTAAGAAAAGTGCAACCAGCCAGGAAGAGTAGACAGGCTGGCGGTCAGAAAGGTTTGTCTGCTATTATTGATCTTTGCAGGGAACATCCACTCAGCTCCCAAGGCAAAATACACGTTTGAAAACCAAATCTGTATACACCATGCAGCCAACTACCAAAGCGATAAACAAACCAGATAATTATTTTAATGGAGAACCACACTTCATTTCTTACTTTTATCTTCTTATTTGATTTGGTAGATAGGATCGTGATTGGAATATTTCTCATTCCATTCATATTACCTTAATTCTTGAGATGTCAAATTACAATTGACAGTAGTGTTTAATGATGCTTGTGGGAGGTGTTTTGAGGCTTGCAATTTACTGAGACCACCAACTCATTTCAGATACCTTCGAATACTCATCAGATGGTGGTTTCTTTCAGTCACCATTGGCCTGGAATGGATTTGAACCAACTATTTAGAAATGTAAGGTTCTGTCTTCAGCTGTTGCTTCCTCCTGAAAATGCATGATTTGGGGGGTCTGCCAGGACTGTATGCGCTTATGAGTTCCCATTGTGATATGGTCCATTGTGGAGGGGGGGGATGTCTAAATATAAAACTGACAAGAAGAATGAGTGTAACTTAATGGATGAAACGGTTGACGTGCCAAGGCAGAAAACTGGGCTTAAATTATAGCTATGAATTCTTCCCTTTTTCAGAAGAAGAGCAAGAAACCTCAGGGGATTTTGGTAGTGGTGGATCAGTGTTATTGTTGGATGACCTGGAAGAAGCATACGAAGCAGCAAAAAAGGACAAACAGAAGATACATGTAAGAGCAACTAATGAGGACGATGAAGATGAAGATGATGATAAGGATGATGAAATTGGGTATATATGGTAGTTCCCATAACTCTGAGGACTCATGTTTTGCACAATGTCACAAATCATTTTGTATCTCCACAGAGATAATGGAAACATCAGGCATCACACACGAAGTTCAGTCAATCTGTATGGGCCTCCCAGTATGCACACTGATCTCCTTCCCAATTGGGCTTTCCTTTCACTTTACTGGTAGCCTCACCTCCCCAGGCACACTGGAGATCAGCATGCATAGCTGAATCTGTCACTAAAGTGAACTGGGAAGACCTTTTGCATGTGGTGCACCTTGTACACAGGGGGTAACTTTATACACACATGTGCATATGGGTTCCTGCGGCCATCATACCGCCAGTAAGGACAACTCTCTCGCCACTTGATTTAATTTTATATGCTCTATATTAATTTGGAAGACCGTTTTCACTCTCAAATTCTCCTTCTCTTCAGCATAACTGCATGCATTCTTCTCATCTGTTTTTCACTTTTTTCCATAATTAACCTATTCACGCAGCATATCATTTTGAATGAAACAGTGACCACGGAAGGGAGGGACAGGGAGATAGTCCATAGTAAACTTCTTTCACACTATAGCTTCCGAGGTTTTCCTATGGCGGGTCCTTTTCCATTGTGCCGTTTGCTGTCAGCTACCCCACTCTGCTTTCTTTTCAGCAGCTAAGGCAGGCTATCTTTTTGTCTTGCTATGCAGAACCTGTAAGAAAAGATCAAATTGATTTAGCGTTCTGGCTTGGCCAAATTATTTCATTTTATCTCTCCTCCTCATTTTGCCTGATGTTGTTTAGCGAAAGGAGAGCCGGATGCCAATAGTACTCAGTTAAAGTTCTCCCCACTGACTATGAGTGTAGAGGACAAGATCTCAGTTGACCTTTCAGCCCATTAATCAATTTCAGTTCAGTTTAAGTTAATGAAAGTGATGCTGACTTTAAAAATAAATTGTTGATTTGCATGCTTACACACGATGCTCACCTTTCGACTTCTAACAGGAGGAACCTCCTTTTCAACACAGAGCAGGAAGTCATGCTTCGCAAAGGCGTTTCTTTGCTTCTTGTTAGACTTTTTGCAGACTTGCAAGTCTCGAATTTGTTTTAATCGAGTTTGCGCTAATGCTATGCAAGCTTCTCTCTGCTTCCGGAATAGCATACCATTGGATTGCTGAAAATGCTTTTTTTTTTCATTTACTCTAATGATTCCTCATAGGGAAGCACTGAAACTGTCAGAGGCACTAACCATCAAAAGTAATAAGCTGTCTTTCCTTTATTTTAAATTGTTAGTATTTATTTGCTTCATTTTAGAAGAAAAATATCCTTAGGCAGTTGTTTCCATGGTTAATATCATTCCTAGTTAACATCACAACAGAAACTTACACTCATGAACCAGAAAAAGTGTGGAATAGAATTATTCCATAAATGGTCCTGAATGATTCTGTATCCATAGCAGCATCTTATTGTACTCAATTGCCATTCATTGTCGGAAAATAGATGTGCTACTGTAGGCATTATAACAAGTGCCCATTTTTATCTTATTAAATGCAAGGAAATCAATAAGTCTTTTAAATTCTGCAAAAACTAAGGGCCATCTCTACTTTAGTCTGTCTTGAGCCTCAGTCTTAACAATAAAGACAAATGCAAAAATATTTGTATCCGAATGCAAATTTAAAAAGAAAGAAAAGTGTATATTAAAGATGCTATTCTTTGGTATAAATTTCTAATGCTTTTTCTAAATAAGTAAAAAATGGCATCTCCCCGTAGATCATTGCTTATTCTACTACAACTTGGCTTATTTATGCCTTTTGTTTCTGACGTGATGTAGTCTGAGTTGCTTTTAAACAAAAGTTATACAAAAAAGGCCTGAAAATGAATCCTTCAAAATAATAACAAATGCAAGAGTTTAATACTGCAGTTTTCACCTTGTTTAACTCCTCTTAGAGAGAGAAATCCAAATTAATTGGCTGGAAGAAGAGGTGCTTCCCAGACAGAACCTTTTCTGAATTCCCCCCCAAAAAATATTTCTAGTATTTTAAGCACAGTTTGGGTTTTGATATTTGATTCCTAAGATTATTTGATATTTGCTTCCTAAGAAATCAAATTTCTATCTATCATCTACTGCAGAGCCCAATAAAGAAATTCATATAGTAGCTTTGATTTTTTTTTTAAGCAACACTTTATCTATAGCAACCCAAACTGTGATGTGTTCTGTTACATTTAATATGACATATAATGAAGCCATTGGGCTCTGCCCTAATTGCCATTTGGCCTCTACTTATAGCCAATAATGTCCATTGGAGGTTTGTACAGATCTTCCTAGCAAAGAAATATCAACTGTTACCTGATTTTCTTACCCAGCCCTAACCCTCTTTCAAAAAAAAAAAGCCATGAAACTAATTTTGTTTAGAAGTGCTGCAACAGAAACGAGTAGCAGTTGATGGCTACATCCAGCAAAAGGTACTGGGTCAAACCTTGGAACATTGCAAAGCTGTTACATGTTGATATCACCTTCTCACCCCAAGTGCTGTAACATATCACACTTGTAAGGTACTTCCGAAAACCAAACCATGTGATGTTTTTCCCGGACTCGTGCTTAAAGTTCTGTAAAATTAATGAGATTTGCTCCCGAAGACAAGTGATGTTAAGTGCATTGTACAATACGAATTGCACTGGCCACAGTCTTTAGATTTGGCTGCAGAGCTATTAAAGAAAAGTCAAAAGCCAGTTGGAAGCTGTAATATAATGACCACTTTTCTATTCTACTGATTAAAGGTGAGGTTTCTGCTTAATAAAGCTCCTAGAAATCATCTTCCCTTTAGTTGCAATGAAATGCTGTTTGTCGTACACTGGAAAGTAACTTACATTTAGCTTCATTTTCAACACAAACAATAACATGGGAGAAGCTTTTTGAAGGGGTTTACATATGTGTATGTGCATGTTTGTTTGGTGTCCTCCTGTTGCTGAATATTGAATCAGTGATTTCTCCTACTAGCACTCACCTCTGAAACTCACAGGAAATTCTACTTAAATCCAACAATAAAATCCCCACTGATTTAAAATGGATGTAGTTGACATGATTACTTTCATAAATAAACAGTCCTAATCCGAAACTTAGAGGGAAAAATCCAAATTGGGAGATTTGATGGTTTAAATGTAATGTTAACAGTACATTTCATCTGATTATAGACTTGTACAAAAACAGAGTTTGTTTATCTTCTTGTTTCTTCAAAATCTGTAATCCATCTGTTGATCCCACAGTCTTATGGTAAAACAGTTTTCATTTGTATGTGGTACCTCTGTGCATTCAAAGTTGCCAAAACATGGTGGTGTACAATTTGTTGAAGAGGTGTTTGAAATGTTTTCCCTGAAATATAATATCCTACACTAAACCATGGCAAAAGATGTGAACATTATAAAGGAGAAAGTCATTTCATATATGCTGAGTAGAAATGATGTGTAAGTGATAACCTCTTTAGTTTAAGAACACATATAAAATAAACTCTTAAGGATCTGCCCTGGTCCATCTTCATTTTGTCTATATCTGCAAACTATAATCATTGTCCTGTTTGTGATTTCCTCTCATCTGATTTCATGTTTGTCTAAAGCAGGGGGTGTCCATCCTTGGCAACTTTAAGACTAGTGGACTTCAAGTCTCGTGGAGTGGCTGGCTGAGGAAATCTGGGAGTTGAAGCTCACAAATCTAAAAGTTGTCAAGGTTGGATACCCCTGGTTAGAGAAAACATTTTAAGCTTGGAAAGGGGATAAGATTTCAAGGATGTGTTATAAACCACCATGGATGTATGTAATTTCAGGTGGGAAATTTGCAGGAACAATTACAGCTATAATTATATCAATTTATCAGCAGCATGTAAAAGAAAGACCAGGACTTGGTAGCCCCATGAAAGTAAAGCCAAAGAAACAGAATAGAGCTGTGCCTTTGGAGGAACTGAAAAGTGGAAGCGTAATTTCCCAGTCATTGTCATGAGAAATACTTTGCTTCATTAGAAAAGAGTAAACATAAACTTTGGGGAAAGGGACAAAAGGGCAAAACTACACAGGATAATTTAAACAAGCCTTATAACCTATTATTCCTCTGCAAAACTGTGCAAAACTAGAACAAGTCCAAACACAAAGCCATGGCAGCATCTCTGCGTTTCCTATCAAGCCAGAGAATGCAGCAATTCATTTCTCATTAAACTGCTGAGGGGAATAATAATAATGTAACTACTATTTTGTCTTACCAAGCCAATAATAGGCCTCCTGTCCTAGCTTCTCTTTAAAAAAAAATACTTTATAGCTTTCCATGGATTGAACTGCTACCGAACAAAAGATAACAATGGTGTTTGGCTATGCGTATAACCAGAAACACAAATTGGGTTATTTTGTACTACATTATATTCAATTTTGATACAGTGATATGAACCAGCAGATGGTTCAAAGAGATTATAATCAACAGCAATCTATGTCGAAGACCAAGCCATATTGTGGACTTGTCTCTAAACATGCAGTTTCCATTCCATTGAATCATCTTTTTAGAAGATCTTATATGCTCCCTTTTAATATTCTCATTGTTTCTCATCCATGCTATTGTTGATACTATCAGTTTTTCCTGTAATTACCTATTGGAGTTTCCACTACTACCTCATATATCCCATCCCACCCACCCAGTTACAAGTTGATGCCCAAGTACCATCATTTTACCAGGAAGATCCTCATCTGCAAAAGGTGTATCTCTTCCATGTTGCTGCCTATCAGGATTTCTGCATTAGGACCCCTATTTGTGTCTGCCCAAATGATTCTTATATTTTCTGCCTTCTAGCTAGGAAATTCTAACCTCAGAAGATAACCATTTCCTCCAATGTGTATGTGCGTAGGAGGACAGTACTGAAAATCAACTAACTTTAGACATATTTGAAGAGCCACAATCTTCTATTCTAATGTTTAATAACCTAAATGGTCCTGAACTTGGTTGCACCAGGAGATAGGGCAAAGCATACCTACAGTATGTGAGCTTGGGAGGAAGCAACTATTGCATGTATGTAAGTGGTATCCATTACTCTAAAGTCTACAGCATCTAAGAACAAGAGGAAGAACAGTTTTAATTACCAGATCTCAGAGATTAGAATGTTGCTTACTTTCATCTGAAGCCTTCTTCTGTTCTCTAGTTCAGTGGCATCACCTGCTGGACCATAACTAAATAAAAGAAGCTCTGACATCACATTGATGTTTTTGGGGAGCTTGCTTCTTAGATAGAAGTGTAGAGAATTGAGGTCTTCCCTATTTCCAACCAACACTTAAAACACAAGGATATTCCAAAGATTTTTTTTTCACTAATCATATTGGATTCTTGATTTGCACTGTGACAAGATTTTCCTTCCAAAAGGTGCAGTTTTAATTGCAAATTTTCCAGGGATTATTATCAGAATAGTTTTAAAAAACATGATGTAATATAATCTAATATATTATATAGTGGAGATCAGATGCATGTACAGAAACCTTGCCTAAATAGTGACAATTAAGATTTAGAATAAAATGTAAACTATGGCCATAGACAATGCTATATATTGTTGCATGATGTTTATATTCATATAAACTCTTAATCACTTAAGAAAACAAATGTTTTTTACAAATATATATTTAGAACAGCATCTGCATTATTAAGGTTATGGTTGGATTATTATTACCATTTTGGTACTCTAAAGCCAAGAGTATGATTTTTGACCCAAGTTAATTGCCATCTACTGAACTGGTTTCATGAATGGGTTCATAAGCACCCAGAATGGAATTCAGTATAATAATGTAGACACATGTTAATAAAGATTCTATCTGTTATTTCATTGTGTACAGAAGCAATATGTAGACCAGCTTCATTTTTTAAAAAAACTTGTAATAGCAAAAAATATGTATCTTTAAGTCTGGTGATTTTCTGGCAAAATTAATAGAGTGAAGAATATTTATAGAAAGCAAATTTCATAGTCTAATGAAATGATTTTATGAGGTATAAAATATACCATCAACACTGGTTATTAGAATTATTAGTACTCTATTTGTTCATAATTAACCCCTACTTTTTAAACAGTTAACATAAGCTGCATTACAGTCATGATATAAGAACTCTTACTGTAGCCTTTTGCCCTCTTGTTTGAAACTATGCTTTAAAAAAGGATTTTAGTTCATTAAAATAATAAATAACTGAGTTCTTTAATCCTGTAAAAGGTAGAGCCATCAATATTATACCCTAGAGCGAATTAAGTATTCTATTTCTCCCATTGGGAAACAAAAAGCTTTTAACTTTCCCCCAGCTTCATTTAATTTGTTTCCCTTAAAATATTCCATTTTTCTTCGAATCATTGACCTTCCCAATATTAGAAACTCCCATATATATAAAAAAAGAAACAGGGCAGTCCAGAAATACTCAAACCTATTAAGTCTGTGTAAATGGAGGCATTTTGAAATATGGAAGCTTTTAGAGCTGCTGCCTAATTTTGTTACATTATCTTTACTAAAAGAATCATTATGGTTTCATGTTGTATTTCATATGCTGCTCCCACAAAATAGAGCTTTGGCTCATTGGTTCACAGCCTCCTCTGAAATTCTGCAATAGGTTGCA